TTTTCAAGAAGGCTTAAAGCCATCAGGCCACTAGGTCCAAGTGTGCCAATAATTTTTATAAAAGCTGGGGGATGCACTTTTCAAGAAGGCTTAAAGCCATCAGGCCACTAGGTCCAAGTGTGCCAATAATTTTTATTTTATAATCTAAACTATAAAATTATAAATTTTTCTTCTATATGGTAATAATAATCATAGTTGAACCCTATTTTTGTCTAAGTTGGTTTGAGAGGCGAGGGGAGCCTACCAAGAGAATTAACTTGGAGGGATATTGTGAAATGAGTATGTTCCCTTGTTTTGAAAATAGAGATACATAATGGGTTATGTTCAAACTAGAGGGAATGAGGGATAAAAAATAAAATAAAATAAAACAAAGAGGAAAGTAAGAAAAAGATGAAAATTCCGAAATTTTGATTAGAGCAAATGCATGCATGTCAAAACATTTGGTCGACATTCAAAATGAAAGGTACAAGTGCAGGTTCAATAAGCACATTACTAGGGATGACAACGAAGCCTTCCAATTTTGGTTAAGGTTTACAGAAGCTTATCCGTCCAGCCTTGATTCTTCGATTTTGCTCCTCGAAAATACACGGCGCTGTTGCGAACATAATAAAAGCACATGTAAAAACAATTCGACCGACAACTAAAAAAGGGGATCAATTTGCTGAACTGAGATCACCTCAGCACAGAAAGAATGTAGAGATCAAACAAAATTTCAGCTCAACTTGCACTGAGCTGAATGTTACATGAACCAAAACTGTTGAACAAGGCAAAATAAAAGTTCTACTCTGTGTTTAAAGAAAAATCTATGCATTGTTCCCAGTCTGCTGGGTTACCATATCCTCGTTTGAACTATTATTTGGAAGCCTACATCTACACCAGAAAAACTGCTTGTCATCTTCCTGCTATAATAACCACAGAATGGCTGCGTTGATTGCATCTTCATTCTTGAATTTTTTTTTTTTTTTTTTTTTTGATGGAACAGGTACCGGTTGAAACCCTCATGGGGGAGAGGGTCGGGGAATAAGGGTTTGAACCTTGGCCAGATGGATGAAGAAGCACCTTTTTGCCAATAGTTTGGCCAATTACTCTACAGGCCTTCCTCTTCATTCTTGATTGTTAAACCTCTTGTGACATCACCAACCACAAGGAGATGCTCAGCAGTACGAGGACACTGGGAAAGGAGTGTTTGCTGTCAAGAAGATGTCCCATAACACTGATGGAGAAGATACTTCACTACTTCATAGAAGGACACCACAATCCCAACAGAAGGACCTACACGGGCAATGCAAGGACCAACTCCCATAAAAAGTCCCTTTATCCCTCCATCTCTGTTCCAAGAAAAGACAATTTGTGATAAATTTCTCAGCTGAAAAATGATACAGAAAACTGAAGGGCATCTTGAAATGTAAATTGATGGTGGGAAGGTCAACAACATAAAGAAGTAATGCAAGTCTCAATAAACTCTAATTTTTCAAATACAAGCAGTAGGAGAAGTACCTCCAAACCTCCATTAGTGTCTGCCGCATAGTCAACTGCAAAGCTCTCATAGGATCCTTCTGAAAACTATGACAAAAAAAAAATAAATTAGAAGAATAATTCTGCATTTGCACTCATGAACACACAGTCAGGACAATAAACAAAACAATTTTTCATCGGATAAAGCATACTCTCAAGTCACAACATGGAAAGTTACTCTAAGAAATTAAAAGTACTATGTTCAGACAGAAGGAGTATTCCACATTAAGGGTACTAACAATATCAATAATCAGAATACTCATGTTACCAGGACTAGAACTCCAGAAGACATCATTGTTGAAAGCACCTAAATGTCCCTGCATATCATATAATGACAAAATGAAGGAATTAATATTCAAGATACCTGCATCCGGGTTCTTGCAAATTCAATAGGATAGCAAGTTGTACATGCTAATGACCGTGCCACTAAGCCTGCAACCAAAGGAACATATGGTGTTGCAGTGGGAGCATTCTGGATTGTGAACTCCTCCATTCTGATACAGAATATGTCATACAAAGGCAAAAAGATTCCCACCTGTTTGAAGATGTGTACTAACCATCAGTAGAAGAGTTTGACTTATCCTAGGGTTTTCTACATCCAAACTATCATTGTCTAAGTAACAAAAGTCTCCTGACTAATATATGAACTTACAGTTGGTAATGCCAAAGCCAAACCTGCATTTGTTCCTCACCACAGCCTAGAAAATCCTTCCTGCAAAACTTCCTGTTATGATGATCTTATCGAAGCAAAATGAAAGGAATGCATTTACACACCAAAACTTCATAAAAGATTGAAGCACCATAAAGGGTATCAAAGAACAATATATGGTGCCAGGATTTAGACAGATGTACACTATGCAGGAAAGATCTTTGCAATTTGGGGCATATAATAGCAGGATTCATCATCTTCATGAATATGTTAAATCCAATTGTACATCATCCTACCAGAAATTTTTTATGAAATTCATCTAGACATCTACGTGCTAAAAGTGACATAAGGACACCAACCTGTCCAATAATTTTGATGAAGACATCAAGAGTTCCTTTGTACCGAAAGCAATCAGGTGAACAAATTGATACAGTACCATGAACTCCAGCACGTGCGCATGACGGTGAACATCTTAAATCAGCAAACATCTAATTCAACACAAAGAGAAAAACTGAAGTTAATTAAAAAGACTAGATTGAAACACAGAGAAAACCTCCAGAAATGAAACAAGATTTCTCCTAAAAAAATAATGTCAGAACTCAAAAGGTAGAATCGCAGCCATACCATGTTGGGTCCAAAGTATGCCATGCGACTGATGATATTACTTAGTGGGTGTGAGTAAGGAACCCCAGCAGCCTGCGCTTGCAACCTTGTCTGTCCCATACAAGATATCAACATTCTCAGCAATAGAAAAATATTCTCAGGCAAAGGGACTGCAAATATTAGAATGAAACAGAGGGTTCAATAAAATCATAATTTGAATTGCTATAAAAAATTCATGGGTAGAGTACCTTGGCAACATCAAGAGGATTAACGGTGACTGCACATAAAAAAAGTGGCACCGGCAGCATAGAACGTCCGCTTACCGATCCCTAATTTCATATCAAATGCATTGCTCTTTCTGTTCTGTTTCGCCTGAGAATCACCGACGCCGCAGCCATCTATATCCGTCAGCGTCGGTTCCATGATCGACAAATCGCGACCGTTCATTTCAACACCAGCCGACTGCTCCGACCTTACCCACGCGTTCTCCGTCGGCCCCGTTTCTGCCATCTCGTTTCCACCATCGTCAAATCTGAAAAAACAGAATCACAGAAAATTTAATTTGAGGTTTGATTTTTGGAAGCAATTTTTTCCATGTTAGTTGGAGAAGAGGAGGAGAAGAGGAAAAGAAGAGTGGAAACTGTGTACAGACGCACAAGAGCTTCATAACTTAGGCCATGTTTGGAGACTCTGCAAGAGCGACTTAAGGTATTGTTTGGATTGAAGGAGTCGGACGGAGAGGGAGGGGAAGGGATGGGGACGGATGGCAAGGGAGGGGGAGTGAGCGATAGCTGTCTCCTTCCTCCTGTTTGGGTTTTCAAAGAGGGAGAGAGGGAGAGGGATGGACTGATTCGGACTCCCTCCAACCCCCTTCGAATATGCAGATTTGCAATCTGTCCGATTTGGGGGTTTGGGAAAGATTTGAGTGGCTGTTTACATTAAGTTAAATGTAATTACAAAATTAACCTTAATTTTTTTATTTTATCCTTCTTCATTACAAGCTTAAAAGGTAAATTTATAAATTTAAAATTAATTTAAATCATTTCTTTCCTTCCCTTCCTTTTACTTTAATTATCCAAATATAAAATAATACAATTCTTTCCTTCCCTTTCCCTTCGTCGTTTTTATTTATCCAAACAAAATTAACACAAATCATTTCCT